TAATGCCTAATGCCTAATGCCTAATGCCTAATGCCTAATGCCTAATGCCTAATACTGAATGCCTAATGCCTAATGAATAATAACAAATGACCAATTAAAAATGATTAATGACTCATAATAACTAATGCCTAATGACCTCTTTACTAATGACTAATAATTATGATGAGTAGCCCTCCACGATTAATGTCTATCCGCATTAATACTTCGAATTAGGTTCTTTCTTATCGTATTACGCGCAGCACCTACTTCAAACAGTGTCCATTCAACCGTATTTAATATTCTCACGCCGACTTCTCCTCTTTCTCTCTCTCTCTCTCTCTCTCTCTCTCTCTCTCTCTATTGAAGGCAGTTTAACTGCTTCTCAATTAGTTGCCAATTATTCAGCTCCGCCGATATCTGTAAATGTGCGATAGACACAATATATAAATACACACACACATACAAACCACATATATATGTACATATATCTATGTATAATGCAGTGGGCGAGTGATATATGCGCATAGACGGCTTCGTGCTTATTCAATTAAATGCAGTGCACCAACTCAATTTCGAAATCGCATTTATCAAGCCATTAGAGTCAAATAATCAGGCAGCAGCAGCAGCCACTGCAGTGGCAGCCGTGGCAGGAGCTGCTCACAGATGCAGTGCGGGACACAATGGGGGATGGGGAGGGGCGTGCGGGTGGGACGAGCCGTTCACATTAAATGCAGCCGTCGACGTTAGCTGATAACGGAATTTGCCTACCATTATAGAAGACAGCAGCAGCAGCCAGCGAGTCGAGGAGATGAGACGTGAGCGGGGGGCGGTGCAAGTGGTTTGAAGTGTGTGCCATGCCCAAACCGAAGATGAGAGCACTTCTGTGGGTAGCTCTAGGTGGCATAAGACGATGACAACGAGCAGCTCAGCGAACGAACAAAAAAGAACCAAACCAATTGTTCAACCGGGGCAGCAATCGCATTAGAAATAGTTGAGAAATCAAAATGATGATAGACCCCGCCAGCGCCCAGCCACCAGCTCCATCAAGAGCGAGAGCAGGCCTCACGAAAGGCAGCCAGGTCTACGACAATAGCAGCTAGCTTCAATGGGATACAAAAAATACAACAAAAACTCTTTTGAATTTACATTGTACTTGGAGAGCAGAGCCGAGCCGAGCAGAGCACAGAGATAGAAATGAATCCCTGCCATAATGGACAGTAAGGACATCCTTAGATTACGAGTTATATATGTATGTATGTATGTCCATACATATACACAATATATGAGATGCTCACAATTCGAGCAACTATTTCAATTTATATGAATGTACTGCAGGGCGAACTTATACAGGTTGCAACAAGTAGAAAATTTAACTAAATGAAATCCTGCTGTTATATGTAATATGTAATAATTAGAAATTGTGATCAATTTGATCGCATCATAGACCTTTTTATATGTAGCTCTCATCCAGCTACTCCGCCGATTTTATTCATTCCGTGCGTCAGTTCTATAAATTCTTTTAACTATCTTTATGTCCCTCAGTCTCACTCTCTCACTCTCACTCTCAATTTCACTCTCACTCTGACGCTCAGTCTCACTCTCTGTCTGTCTCTGTCTCTCTCTCTTTCTTTCTCTTACTACCTCTACCTTTCTCACTGTCACTCTGTTTCTCTCTCTCTCTATCTCTCTCTCTCTCATGTTCCCTTTTTATATGCTTTTCTCTCACTCTTTCGCATTGACTTTCTATTTCTCTTTCTCTTTGTTCTTCACTTTAGCATTATTTTTTTCTCCGTCGCTCTATCACTTACTCCATATGGCTGCTTCTCTTCTTCTGTCTTCCTCGTTCTTTCTTTCTCTTTCCCTTTCTGTCTTTTTCTAGTTCTTGTTCTTTCACTCTCTCTCTCTCTTTCTCTCACTCACTCTTTATATTTGTTTAGCTCACTTTTACATTATCCAACTTTACCTTTACCTTATCTCTATTCTTCTTACCTTATAAATATACATATATACAGCGCTCTCTCCCTCTCCCCTTCTCTGCCTTTCTCTCTGTTTCAGACGAATCAATCATTCATCCTCTAATAGTCTAGTTTATATATTAATATTCTTACTATAAACTAATCAAGCTATCAGATTTGTTTGTATATTTGTATGCTCTATTTTCCCTTTTTTGCCTCCACTCTCCGATTGGCTCGCTGCAACTGCAGTGCTCATAATTGAGCTATGATGCCATTATACAATTGCATTGAAATCAGATTACAAACGTTTTACCACAAAATTGCATTGGCTGTCCTCATGCTTAGCCCCCGTTTCCGTCTCTCGCCTTCACCCATTCGTATTCGTATTCCAATGGCGCAATGCGAGCGAGGCGCCATTATGATAAATGTGCAGAGCATCAAATAAGCCCGACTGCTATTGCCTTGCTTTAAGGTGGCCGTTGAGGGCGGGGGATGGGCGGCCGGCAGCACGAGCAGCAGGAGGCCACGCCACGCCCTTCAATTGGCTGTGGCGATGACGTTGGCAGAGGCTGTCACTGCTGCGGCTCGCTCCATGCCGATGGCACTACGAATTAGCGCCGTAAATCGCATTTAAATCGTAAAATTCTCGCAGCCAGCCAGTCAGCGAGTCACTTTGCCTTTGCATACAGAGTGGAGAGGCAAACAATCCCCGCGCAAAGCCAGAGACAATGTCAGCCCAGGCCCTGGCCTGGGGGCGTGGCTGGCGGGTTTGCTGGCGCCGTTAGTACGCGCAAAGATTTTGATCCTATCAACTAAATTGCATTTGACAGTTGGCGAAAAAACTTTTGCCTTGGCCGCCATAATTTTTGCTACGGAAAAACGGCGAGAAAAGAGAAAGCGAAAACGAAAGGTTTTCAAGCAAAGGATAATACTCTCAATTGACTTTCAATTTATATATGCTATGCCTCATTTGGCAGAACATAAACTGAGTGCAGACGAACCGATCTCAGTGTCTTTGTTACGTATATTTATGAACAGTTCAAGGCAATTAATTACATTCCAAACAGAATAGAAAATGAAACAAAACGAGTTGGCAGCTCAGAGCTTAACGTTCTTTTTGCGTTCTGGCGTTGCCACCTGACGCAAAAGAAAACAATAACAACAGCTATTATCAGCTGCGATCACAGCTGCTAATGCGTTTCATATATACATTTGGCATTTAACGGCGCGACAACAGCTGCCCCTTTAGCTCAGTGGTAGAGCGTTGGTCTCGTAAACCAAAGGCCGTGAGTTCAACCCTCACAGGGGGCAACTGACTAAGTGAGCATATTTTTTTATATTAGATCAAATTATTTTCTTAGTTACTTTAAAAATTTCTAACAATCCAGTGCGCCCACTGCGCCATCTGTCGGCTGCAATTTCCAATCGATTGCCGCCATGTTCGCACTTCATGCGATAACGTGGAAGTTTTGCAATTTGCGGCATGGGAAAGTTCGTCTTTATAGCTATGTGTGCGTGTGTGTTGTAAGTGTGTGTGAGTTGTGTGTATAGAAAGGGTACAGTGCAGTCGTGGCCCCTATATACTACCTCAAGATTTTTGTACTTTTTCAGCCAGTTTGCAGAGTTTTCCTCTATATTTTTTTTTCTATTTTGTTCAATTCGACTTCGCCAAGATTTATGCGCAGCAAGTTGAAGTGCGCTTCCGCATGTTTCGATAATTTGCGTGATTTTTGCATTTTATAGTGCAGCCTTTTTCAATGCTCGTTGAGGCGAGGCTTAACGGGTGTATTGGGCAGAGCAAAGCTTAAAATAGAAGGCGAAATAATTGAGCGTACACATTGGGCAAAGGCAGATACGGCAACCTTGGGCGTGGCAAATCCGATAAGAAAGTGTTTTAGAAAAATAAATCATTGATTAGGAAATTATTTAAAAATTTATACACCATTTATTTGTTTTACTTATTTCATCTTTTATTTCAAGCGAGTATGTGACAGTCGTGTCTTGCTCACTCTCACTAGCGTATTGCATGCGTAAGTGGCAGACGTAGCTGCATCATTAAAAACTTGCAGCCAGCCACTACAAATGTGGGCCAGGCCACCTTCGACTCAGCTGCTGCTGCTGCTGCTGCAGCTCGCAGTTGAAGCTGCCCCACAAAAATTTTATAATGATTTTGTATTTATTTTAGCTGGCAATTAAAAGCGGCATAAAATATTTACTTGCAATTAGAGCAACTGCTTTCCAGCAGCAGCAGCAGCAGCAGCAGCAGCTCAGCTCAGCTTGGCTCAGCTTGAGTGCAGCTTGCGTCAGTCTCCGATTCCAGGATGTGTGGTTGGGGCGAATGGGCGTGGGTCTATGTGCCGTGACAGACACTAATTATGGTTTTTACAATTTGCGACTTGCAGCGCTAACCGCAAGACATGGGACATAGGACGTCAGACATACGACATAAGACATAAGACATGCCGTGCAACAAGACGCAAGGACTTTACCTCGACGCTGCCATTTTGCGGTCTGCAGCTGGAAAGCGCGAGGTGAGGCGAGGCTCACTGGAAGGAGGCCACATCAAAATTTTCGCGAGTAACTGTGTGAGTTTGTCACAGCATTATCTGCAGCACACAGTCACACACACGCACACATGCTGCCTGCACATATGTATGTGTGTGTGTGCTGTGTTTGTATGCATGCGTGTTTGGGTAGGAGGCGTAGCAGCCGCGCATTGAAATCGCCACCATTAATAAGAAAGTTTTTCCTACGACTCTGCCTCTGTCGCTGCCTCTGCCTCTGCCTGCCATGCTGCCTGCCTGCTGGTAATAAGCAAATTGAGATGACAAAGTTTATTGTTGATTTTATGTACACACACACACACACATGCACATCGACTCCGGCGGGGATCAGGCGACCTAAATGAGTTATTTAAGTAGCACTTGCGCCCCAGTTTAAATGCGCTCGTAATTTGCCTTTGTGCCAAGCCAAGTTTTTGTACCGCAAAAATACATGTGCATGTATACATGTATGAGTGAGTGTGTGTGTGTGTGTTTGTGAGCGTGTTTACAGGCTGATATGCTCGCTGAAGAACGTTTAACAGAATAATGACAATATTAACTTATGACTTTTATACGCAGTGTAATATGTTAAAAAGAAAATAAAAGAAATTCACAATTATTATTAAAGTTATGATTACTATGTCTTAAGAATTTAATTTATAAAAATTCAGATCAATAATTGTACATATTTATTAACATATCTATAATTAGTCTTGGCTGGGACTCGAACCTACAACTTGAAGCACCTCAAGAAACAATCAAAGTTTTACCGAAAAAGCTTTTTATTTGTATTAGGTAAATTACAACGCCAAACAACAACAAGAACAAATTTTAATTTGGCAGGCTTTGAACCCAGGGCAAGGCGCGAGCAAAAACTCCGACTGCAAACGGCGCTAATAGCTGCAACAAGTCGCTCAGGCAATTGAGCCACAGTCGACTAGAGCCACTTCAAAGCTGAATTCGTAAAAGCTTTAAATATGCACGGCTCGAAAGAAATGTAATTGAATAGAAAGCAATAGATTATGAATGTAAGCTGTGTTAATAATAGCATTTCAGAGTATTAGCAAAACTAAAGTGACGGAATTTCAATTAAATAAGAAAATAAGTCAGAGGGTAATATTTAAAGCTTTAAAATATTGAAAAATGCATAAATTTGTATAAATAAAGATAAATGTAAGTTAAACGAAAACTATTTCAAACTAGCAATTGCTCTTAACAACAAATAAAACTATTGAAAAAAAAAAAAAAAAAAACGATTAAATTTTTGCTTATTTATTGATATAAATGATGAGGATTCAAATTTTAGTTTCAATAAAAAGTAGAGTTTAATCGCCAAAATGTGTACATTTTCTCTGCATTTTGTGTTTACAAAAATTTTTATATTATTAAAATACAAAATATGAGCAAGAACTGCAAATAAATTATATTTAGCAATTAAATTATACTTTTTATTGAGGCAATATATTAGAGAGTATTTTTGTGTTATTATTAAATATTTTTAAATATAAATAAATATGTTTGAATTAAGAGATGTTAGACCATCTAACTGCCGCTTCACTGTACCTATGGCACATACATGTATGAGTGTGTGTGTGTGTTGTCTAAGCTATTAATGCGCATTGCTGTGCCTGTGCCTGTGTCTGTGCCTGTGCCACGTTGCCTGTAGCTCCGTTGCGGCGTCTTAAGACGTCTTATTCAGCATGTGGCATACTTTGTGTCCCGTGTGTGCCCGTTTGTGTGTGTGAGTGTGTGCGTGTTTGTGTGTACTTTACTTGGCTAAGTACGTGATTTGATTAGCGCCCAAAAATCCAGTTCGTGTCTGTGCCGCACTTATGGCCCTAGACCGACGAGCGTCGAGCGACTTATCAAGCATACGCCGCATTGCACACAACAAATTGACAAAACAATTTTAAAATGTCTTTAATGTATGTGCCTAATACACATGTATGTATATACATATGTGGGTGTGCGTGTGTGTGTTTGCTTTGCTCTCTTTCTCGTTATTTTATTCTTTCTTTACATAAACATCGCCTGTTGAGGTCAACAAATTATCGCAAGCATTTTTCATACTCATTTCGGGCTGGCCGCAGCAACACCAACGACAACAACAACAACAACAACAACAGGAGTAGAGGCAGCAGCAGCAGCAGCAGCTCAGGGAATGTCAACAGCAAAATACGTGAGCAAACATAGAAATGGCTGCCATTGACAAACTAGTGGGAAAAGCCAACCAAAGAGAGAGAGAGAGAAGGAGAGATCTCTATGTGTGTGTGTAAACGAGACATTAATGCCATTATGCGTGTGTGTGTGTGCGTGTGTATGTGTGGGCGGCACTTGTGTAAAAAGCAACTAATGAAAACGGAAATAAAAACCGCTCGAGGAATGCTGATGACTCTCCAAGGATGGTATTTAATATACGAGTATGGGTGTATGTCTGCGTGTGCGTGTGTGTAAAAAGGCTCAACACACAGCAAAACGCATCGAGCCACACTTGCGGAAAACTTCAAGCGAGTGCTGAAGTGCCCCAGATACACTTCACTTGCCAAATTTATTTCCCAGTTCAATGGGTAAAGACCTGAAAAGGTATTTAAAACCACAAGTTATTACTAAATATAGGTATTTCATATTTTCATGAAGATTCAGTTCATAAAATGTGGATTCTTAGACTACATTTGAAAGGTCTTTAACATTTAATGAAACGTCTTTATTTTTTCTTATTCTTAAAAAAAAATAAAAAATATATATTTATATCTTACCTTAAAAAAATTGAGAGATTTACTTGTTGCTGTTAAGTGAATTTCAGTTTGACTACCGCAAATCTTTGGATTATTTTAAGTATACAATTCGGTTAAAAAAAAATCGCCAAAAATATTTAAAAAAAATAACTTATTTCTAGTATATAAAAGCATTTAAAAATATATAAATGCAAAAAAAAAAAAAAAAAAAAAAAAAAAAAAAACCCAAAAAAAAAAAAA